TGGTATTATTTTGCTCATTTTGCAACTGTTTTGTACGTATTTACAGTATGGTTAGTAAAACTTTTTTTTTTTGGAAACGGCCGAAAATTCATGCGCGCGCGGATGTCATCCATATAATCAAATCAACATGGCCTAATGAAAAACACGTGAAAACAGTTGAAGTGACTTTCAGACTGAACCCAACCATATCCATATATTGCAGCCTGACCTAAGGGCCATGCCGAAACACACACACACACACAGACACAAAAACACATAAAAAACAATACCTACATTTTTCAAGAAGGTAAACAAACACGAACGACACCGAAAGCATAATTATAACCTTCTTGCAGAAGGTAATACCCCGGCCTTGCCTGAACCGCCAGACGTGACCTCCTGCCCGTTGAACCAGAACCCGACCAGGTTGGCCGCTGCTCCCTGTGTGTTGGCGATGAAGGACAGCTCGAACGTCCCGGCAGGCAGGTGGCCGTTCCAGCCCATGTCCTTCAGATCGAACACCGTGTCGCCCTCGCGGATATCCGTCACCTCAGCAAGCCAAATCTGGGAAGAGAGAGACACAATGTAACGTAAGGCTTCGAATTCGCCCACTGCACCAAATCCTACCTCTTTTTAAGATCCTCTAAATACACTTTGAAATACCCGTAAATGTATGCGTAAAGGAAGAAACGGGACCTATACCCATGCTTTAAGGCTCCGTTTCTTCCTTTGTATGTACCTAAAAAGTCCTTTACGCATGTATTAAGGTGTTCTTACAGCTAGGGCTTCGTGTTATTGATAAAAGGACCAGCGGAGAAGCTAAAATATGGATGGATAGCATGAGTAAAAAAAAAAAAAACAGTCCCAACCTCCAGATCAACCGCCTTGTCGAACTTGAGCGTGGCGGTCCAACCGCCGTTGACGGCCTGGGCGACCGGGATGTAGACGTTAGCCTGGAACCGGTCTCCCCAGTCGCCGGTCACCTCGTAGATGGACTGCCCCTGGGCCGCGCCCAACAACACCAGCAGAACAAGAGCTGTGCAAGTCTCCATGGTGGCTGATCTGGAACACTCGTCCGACGTATGTATCCAGACCTGGTGCCCTTTTTATATAGCCTGGCGAGCTTTAGATGCTCACGTTGCAAAAACTTAATCTACGATTGGACAAGTTTGTTTTATTTACATCATCACGCACTTTTAGGTCATGACTATATATCTACATAGACATATGGTGTGTTCCCAGGATTTAACCCTCGAACTCTGCGACTACTTTTTGGAAAGTGGCTTACCCATAATTGATCTTAGATATCATAAGGATAATTATGCACCACACTACACGGCAACTCCCATAGATGTACCTAACACATAACCTTCTGATACCAGTGTGAATAAGCCATGTTGATTTGATTAGCTATAGATGGATGACATCCTCTGGGAACCCCAAAACTGACGCGTGCGAATAAAAAAGTTTTGTCTTAAAAATTCCTTCAGTATGAAATATACGTGATTATGAAGAATGAACAAATGACAAATCACAATGACTTTGGCAATTAATAGACTATTTTCATTTCCTTACATTGTCTTCTTTTCCTTCAGCATTCTACGATATAAGTATCGTTTTCCAATATTTTAGCAATGACTTGCGGATGTCATCCATATAATCAAAACAACATGGCCTAACTTTAAATACGTTATCTCCTTCGGTCCAGCGTTGTTTGCATCGACAAACAAAACGTGTATCATTATTTCCGATCGACCTATAGGACTTTCCGCTCGCACTGAAGACCGTACATTATTAACTATCGATATTATCATTTCAAACAACCTAGTCCTAGAGGACTACAAATATTTCCGTTCAACCTTAAAAGAGGACTCTCTATATTTGTATTGAAACAACCTAGAGGACTACATGTGCCTATGTCGCTATTGTAAACAATCTACCCAAGACCGTACATCATTACCTATCGATATTATCATTTCAAACAACCTAAAGGACTACAAATATTTCCGTTCAACCTTAAAAGAGGACTCTCTATATTTGTATTGAAACAACCTAGAGGACTACATGTGCCTATGTCGCTAATCTACCCAAGACCGTACATCATTACCTATCGATATTATCATTTCAAACAACCTAAAGGACTACAAATATTTCCGTTCAACCTTAAAAGAGGACTCTCTATATTTGTATTGAAACAACCTAGAGGACTACATGTGCCTATGTCGCTATTTTAAACAATCTACCTAAGACCATATATTATTACCTATCGATATTATCATTTCAAACAACCTAGAGGACTACAACCACCCCCACACGTCACTCCTCTGACAAATTGTTAATCTGGCCACCGTAGGATCTGCTTGGAGATTAGAAATGATTTCACTCATTATCCATGCATGCTTTCTGTTCATGTGCTCAATAGTACTGAAACTTTATCAATAGATTTAAGGTATTTTTTATGGTGGATGGCTACAAAACAGAGCCTACGGTCTTCTATATGTATTTTACCTGTTAGTCATGCTTATTTCTTTATAGCAGAGTAATTCTTATTCACAGCATTCTTGTATTCTGGTGTGTTGTCTGTATCTGTGATAAAAGTGGACTTACAACATGTGTTTCTTTCTGTAAAGGTACTAATACATGTTGTACTTGTATATCATATCTACACTCAGATACACGTGCTTGGTGCATAGTTTGGGCTCAGTTCCAATAATGTAGGTCATACATGTATTTGTATTGGTAACAAAGCATTAAGCAATATTTATCTCTTTTAGATATGTTTGGGTATGATACAATATTTACCCCAGCCCCAGCCCATCCCCCCAAAAAAAAAAAATTAAAAAATGGTGAAGGGAATGTTTTTGTGTGTTCATTTGTTCAAGCCTGTGTCAAGTGAGGTAGGTTTAGCCTGCCACTAACATTAGTTAACGGCTAAAAGTTTACCCCCTACCAAAGTTTAAAGTAGTTTACTTCCTACCATTAAAACAGTAGTTAATGGAAATGAACCCAGGACCCGGTGACAGACGAATGCCGTAAACTAGTCATGATAACCCCAACAGTCTGGTAGTCCACCTGGCCAGTTTTGCACCCCTGGTCAGAAGAAAACATTTCCCAGGTGCCCACTGGAACACCCCAGGACCCCTACAGGGTAGCACAACCTCTGGGTAATGCAAATGACTTTTTAATGTAAAAAAAAGCCAGATAAATATGCCTAAAAACATGCCAAACATATATAATGGCATGGTCACATTTTCTAGTCAGTGCCCTGCCAGGCTGTTTGTGTGATTTTCACAGTTTTCAATACAGGACCTTGATAGCTGTTGTTGGTTCCCTTTGCATGATAAAGAAAGACTTGTAGACACCATCATTGAATGAGGACACAGTCACTAATACACAAATTCTAGATATTTCATGGAACTATGAGACCTCTGACTTCTTGTTGTTACATGATTTATTGTCAGTAGTGTATAGGAAATGGTATTTCCTTGTACCATAGAACCATACAAGTAATACTTTAAACCTCTCTCCTTATAGTTCAGAAGTAATATATATATAGTGCCTCTACTAGGATGTAAAATACATGTTATACACAAAAATTAAGCTGAACATCTAATGTGAAATCATTTTACACACAGTTGACGTTATGAAGGTTGACGTTAACAATAACAAAGTGGTACCGGTTTTGCAACACAACCAACATGTCTGTAGAGCTTTGCTCCTAGTCCCAGGCTGCACTAAACGACAAGTTTGAAGTAAGTGTAAACAAGAGAGGTAGTTTTTTTCCCTTTTAATATACAGAGTGCCAGTTTCTCTTAAGTGTACTCCTAGTACTACTACATGCTTGGACATATTTATATAATAATCTCTGGGTGGGCAGTGCAATATTCTGCCACGGTATAGCTCCAACTTGGCAATCCGTTAAGGATTGAGGTCTCTTCTGGTGCAGTTTGACACCACTGACTTGTAATGTCTTTTTTAGTCTTCTTGTTGCTTGCAAAAAATACACTTAACACTGTCTTGAGTGAACATTCTGCATCCAACGCAAAGGCAGATGCTTTGCAAATGAATAAACAAATATTCAAAACTAACATGCACTTTGCAAAACACTGGAGTTCACTAATGGGACCATAGTTTCATTGTTCTAAATGGCTTTGAAACAAAAAGACTTTTCTATCTTAAAACCTGTGTGGAGGCAGATCGAGGAAAACTTTTCAAAATAAAATAATCATAACAACAATTTACTAACCTGTACAAAGGAATGCTGAATTGAAATAAAAGGGGTGGGGTCTAAAATATGTTCCTTATTGGCCCAAACTGAAACTTTGAATCACAACAGCCCTTATACCACTTGTTGTAGACATGTTCCTACATGTACTTACACTTGAATGTACCTCTGGCCTACTGCTGATTTGTACATAATTGATTATACAAAGTTACTAGTGAGATCTTCACCATAATTTTACACCATACAATCATATATATGCATGGTAGCTGGTTGAGTGGAAATAATATTGATGCATGGGTAAAATTTTCTCGACTTTGACGCTGATTCCCAGTCCCAGTGCAGAAACAGTGAGAAATAGTGTTCTAGACAGCCTGAAATTTTGTTGGACATAACATCATGGCAAGCATTATATCTTGCCAAGTGATGACATTTCCTGCATTTTGAAGGGCAAATTTCTCTAGTGGGCTAAGCTTAATTTAACGTTAATGACATCTCTTTGTGATTCTCTACCTGGCAATTTTTGTCTGTCATTGATGACAAATTTGGCAAAATCAGGAGAGGGAAAATTCTGTCAAACGATGGAATGACGGACGCTGGGTGGGTGGAACACTGTTTCAGGGTGAAAAACAATGTTGTTGCTGCGGCTTGAGGTACCCTTGAATGTGAGGTGAAGCTAGTCTCTGTTCTGTGGTCACCGGATGTGTGTGTACAGGTTCAGGACAGACTTAGATTCCTGGAGAGAAAAGGTGAACATCTTTGTAAGAAAGAATACTACATCTCAAACTAAGCATATATGTAACAGGTAATAAGAACTAACTGACATGTGGAATTTAGGCCACATCAATCTAAATTGTTGGTTCTCAGATTTTTTTGAAGGAACAAATTGGTTCTCTGATTTTTTTTGGAAAAAAATGAAGGCACAGGGCGAAAAAAAACATGATATCACCAAATACATGTACAATGTACTATGATTGGAGCCATGAATGAAACACACCAGGTTTGTTCATAATTCAAACAATGGATCTTAAAAATTTTCATCAAACTACTGCATTGTAACTGTAATGACTAAGGAGACATGGAGTTTCAACTGTTTGGGCAACCAAAATGAGCATTTTGGATCATGGAGTTGATTCAAAATCATCAACACACAACTTTCAAGATACGAACTAAAAACAGTATGCAGCGTCTTACCTTATTAGATCTAGTCTTACTGAAGACATTCCAAAATCTTAGTGTCTCGTCCCCCGCCCCCGTGACTATGGCCTCTCCGTCGGGCGACATGGCGAGGTACAGTACGCGGTAGGAGTGACCCGTCAGTTTGGCCACCTGCACCAACGATGGGTACTTCCACACCAGGATCTGGTTCTGGGAGTAGCCGTGGGTGCTCACCTGTAGAAAAAGGAAAAGTGTTTAGAAGAAGGCACACAATGCGCAACCTACCAATAATCCTACGTTGTGGGGCTAGACAGAAATGAAGATGATGAAAATGAGAAGTAAAAAGTTAAAGGTTTAAGTTCCATAGCCCTTTTAAGGCTGTAGTTTAGGTGGGTTGGTAATTTATTTATTCTATGACACTGAATTGGAAGGTGGAGCCCATCTCCTCTCTCCTTCCACCGCTTTTTATATCTATTTTATTTTATTCACATTTATTTTTCGAGGATTGGGCAAAAAGTTATAAAACTTTTTGCCGCTTTTTATCTTCCCAACCAAAGTCAGGTACCCTCTTTTCACCTAGATGGAGTGAGGAAAGTCGTGTCTTTTATTTGTGGTCAATATGTATCTAAAAAATCCTTATTTACAACGTAAACAAACACAACAACACATTGTGAACCCACCAGCTCGTTGGCATGTTTGGACCAGGCCAGGTTGCAGACCTGAGACCCTGTGTCCACACACTGTAGCGGTTGGCACGTCAGCGTGTTCCAGAAGCGGATACAGCGGTCTGCAGTACCGCCGCCGGACGCCAGGAGGCCGTGCTGGTGGGGTGACCAGGCGATGGCCTTCACCGCGGCTAGGTGCTCTGTGTACTGCTGGACTGGGTTGACACTGGTCAAGTTCCATACAAATAACTAGGGAGAGAGGAAAGGATATTGGAATCAGGATCGGCATCATATCAATTGTGATACACTTGTCTATCAAACAGAAAGCAGTATACTTTGGAATCCAAGTAGTAAATGGAAAAAAGGACTTATTTTGGTTCTCACCTTATTGTCGTTTCCGCCTGAAGCCAGGTGCTGGTGATCTGGAGACCACTTCAGGCCGCACACCTGTAACAGATGAATAAACAATTAATAAACAAACATACATACATAACAAAACATAATAAACAATCACAACACTAGCTATAAAATGGTGTTATCTTTGCCTATGTGGCACATTAATTTTTCTCTTTTTGAACTTTTTCATTAACTCAGGGCTCAAGATACTTTGTTTCTGATGTAATTGTTTAGCTTGACAAAATACCAGGTTGTTTGGGGTACCAGTACTTTTTCTGCAGTTGTACAATTTTTTTGATGCTTTACAAAACTACATCACCGTTTCTTCTACTTCTAGAATGTGTGACCCCTGTGTTTACCTCTTGTCTGTGACCCGCCAGTCTTCTCTCAGGCACCACACTGGGCGTTCTGACGTCCCTCTGTAGGATGAGCCGATCTCTGCTACCTGAAGACAAGATGTCTGCATTCCAAGCCAAAGCTCCTGTGGGTGGAAAAACAAATGGTTGTCACAGATTCATACATTGTTTCTGCTGTCTCTGTTAAGTCATTTCTGTTTAGCTCAAAGCCCTTCCTTCACCATATGATGTTTAGGGCAGCATCCATCTGCATTTCCTTAGCCCTTAGGCCACACAGTTGTGTAAGCACCAATAATACTACAGCATGGGGTTAGTCTACTGGTATCACTGTGTGTTCAACTTCCATACTCTTTTCCATAAAGCCCCTATCGCACATTCACAAATTTGGGCTCCCAAACACTAGCCGAATGCACCCAGCTATGGTAGGAGTAGGCCTGTGCAAAGTCGACTGGGTTGGCTGCTGTTCAGCAATTTCGGCTACTATTCAGCTGCACCAGTCAAATTTTTCCAAATGTTCAGTTGTTGGTCGACGTTCAACCATGGTTGCCTAGTATTTGGCTGTAAGTCACCAGAACACCAGTCAACCATTCAGGTATTATAAGATCTGTTAATTGAAAGTCCTGGTACTGACCAACTCTGGCGGAGTGTCCCTCTAACATGGAGATTCTCTTGCCCGCCATGGCGTCCCAGACTTGGACATAACCCTTGTGGGTGCCGACCGCAACCAGGTTTCCTCTCTCGTTCCAGTTTACAGATGTTACAGAATCTCCGTCACACGACAAGTCACATAGTCTTGTCACCTGTGGGGAAGAGATGCACGATTTAGTTATGAAGATATACAAGACCAATAGAAAAAAAAATTATTGCATCAAAATTCAAATGTTACAATAATGTAGCATTTACACAAAATGCCATTACATACATGTAGAATATTTGGTTAATGCTATTTGGTTAGACCATATAGCTCTTTGCACTCAGTACTCTGTTGAACTGTCACCAAGAAAAAATATAACACAGAAGGAAAAAAAAAAGCATGAGAAATTTACCTGACTAGTACACGCACTCCACAAGTATACACAAGTCCCCAGCCCAACACTCAAGATGTTCGTAGCTGACCAGTCAACAAGATTAAGGTAGAAGTCGTCTTGAAGTTCTGGAGCATCAAGAACCTGGGAAGCAGATGAAAATGTGTTATCCTTCTTGAATCTTTTTTTCCCAAAATACATTAAATTGACATGTATACCACAAGGCCATGCCAATTCAATTTTCTGGCTCTGAAATGCTGTTTCCTGTATTTTGAGGGGCAAATTTTGCTGGTAGACTAAGCTTACTTGAATGACATCTATTTCCATCTTTTTTTACCGGGTGGGCAAAACTTATGTCTGTCACAAGCAGAAAAATTCCATCAAATAACAAAAAGATGGACATTGGCTAGAACACTGGCTAGAATACTGAGCTTAAGACATTGAAGTATTTGCAAATCAAAATGAAGTTGCAACTTAAGTTAAGGTGGATTAAATTCTCACCTTAAAAAGGAATTTTGGAAATCTTAGCGTGTACTGTTTTCTAGGGTGAGTCGCAGGAGTTTCTGTGACTTTTTCCCCAC